AGGAGGAGAGAGTGTAGGTAGATGCAGCGCAAGTCTACCGGCACTATAAACCCCTGCGCAAGTCACCGTCCCTGCTCCCACCGCTGCTGCAGCTGTGGGGCACACGGTGGACATCGTCGAAATCGACGGTCGAACTTACGTAGATATTAGCTGTATGAGATGCATGTCCAGAATGTTCGGACGAATGAGTAGAATTCGAGCGAAGGATTGTACACGCAGTGAAAAGGGAGGTGCCTTTGCGCATGGGACTGACCACTAGCACGAGGAAGACGGCGTGCATACACCAACCTGCGCCAGTGTCAAGGGATCTCGCCTCACACCAGTACACAAATTCGTGCAACTGGCAAATGTAATTGCAAGAAACATTAAGATCGACAACGAAATCGCCAACTGAATTTACAAGGTCAGTCAGATTTTCGATCATCAACAGCACTCCATCAAGAATTGTGGCGGCGGCGGCGGCGGCGGCGGCGGTGGCGGCAGCTGGAGGCATGGGCTGACTTTATCCACTGCAAGATTCAGGCTCCATCACGAATGAAAAGAAAAATTGGACGCCGATGAAAGGTCATTGCATTTCAGGGTAAGATACTCCAATTTAGGAAGTGTTGCTTTTTAATTTCCTCAGAAAGTAACTGCGAACTTGGTGTAGATCAGTATATTCTAGGGTCTACAGGCGTGGACCGAAATTTGATGCATGAATATCTGGGTCGAAGTCCATCAGCCACAGCGGATAACCGCGTAATATTCATTAACTGCCGGCATGCAAGTTCGCAGTTAATTTCTAAGGAAATAGAAAACAACAATTTCTAAAATGGCGTATCTACCAGAAAACAGACGGAGAGCACTGGGGGACGCACTGATGGGCCGAATCCCTTCCAGCTGTGCCATGCATCTGCAGAATATCGGCGAAACACGCGTGTATGGACTTTTGGCTAGTACCTGTTCTGTTAGTTTGGTATCCTTCTACCTTAAATTATACTACTAACTGCCTGTCGGCGGGTAATGAATATTACGCGGTCATTCGCTTTGGCTGATAGACTTTGGCCCAGATATTCATACATCGAATTTCGGTCTACGCCTATGGACACTAGAATATGCTGATCGACTCCAAGTTCGCAGTTAATTTCTGAGGAGATTAAAAAGCTACAAGGACATTGCATTCTCTACAGAATGATTGGATAAGAGGTTGGGACACGTTGGCAACCGAGTGTTAGCGTCCGGTGCCGCGAGAGCGGACGCCCTAAGTGACGTCAGCGCGTCTCGAGCGCGAGCATGTCTGCGTCGACCTTGAAGTTAATTGGTCGGTATAGATATCTGTGATTGGCAGAGGCATATTTTCACTGGGACGCGAGCACAAACACTCGCAAGTGGCAGAGCACTGCAATGGGCGTCCGAAGGAGGACAACTGCAGAATCGCAGCTGCATATTTCGCAACGCGCAACGGAGGATGAACAGGGCTGTTATAGTGACAGCGCTTGGGTTTATAAGGGGTGGAGGTTGATGTTTCGCCGGATCGAGGTAAGGTGACAAAAGTGGATCACAGAGACAGAAGTTCTGGAACGGACTGGAGTCTTCAGCATCCACACCATGCAGAGGCAACAGCATCTGAGATGGAGTAACAACCTCGTGAGGATGGACGACGAGTGCCTATCGGAACAACTCTTCTGCGGAGATGTTGACGCGGATGCTCGCCGATAGGGAAATCAAATCCGTCGCATCAGGGACCTGCGGCTGTCCGTCCTCTTAATAGCTGACTTGTGCCACTGCTCTTCTGTCCGCATCACGTTCTTGGTCCATTCACTGTCTGCGCCATAGGACGCTTATCACTACCCTCCTGCGGTATTGAAACCAATCAACGCAACTTCTTCGCTTACTGCTTAAAGATACACACATTAAATCAATAGATGACAACAACAACAACGACGACAACAACAACAACAGCGGCACGCGCAGGGGACGCCGCCCTTGCGGACGTGACTTGAAACAGAACATAGGGACTCAGAACGAGGCTTCACGGCGACAGCTTGCGGCGACGTCTTGTAGAGACGTGGTATACCCCTGACTCCATTAAAAGTTTCAACCTTTTGATCTCTCTTCCCTCAACGTTTATCCGAGAACCTTCGAGTCAGCTCGTTTCACGGCAGACCGCCTGAAACGGCTACATATAAACCCGGCACTTCGGGAAAATCTCGCACCGGACGAACTGGGCTAGGGAAGAACAGTGATGATTAGAGCAGCCATCTATGAAGCCAACCTCATCGCTACTACTAACGTCAAAGAGGTGGTTCGCCAGTCTCAGGCGCCCCCCTCATCCTCAACGGCAACCTCCAGGCCTTCTCCACATGCGCAAGCTGTCAACGAACATTCCTGTGCGTATTGACCTCGTCGGGCGTGTCAGGACTCAATGCAGTAACAGTCCGGCAGACCAACTAACCGTCTCTCCAACCACCACGGCGTCCAATGCGACGACGACCATCACCACCGATGCTCGAAATCCCCGTGACCAGCTGCTGTCGACCACCTCACATCATCATCATCATCATCATCATCATCATCATCATCATCATCATCATCATCAGAAGCAGCAGCAACTGCCGTCGACCACCGCACAGCCCCATCATCCCTGCCACAATCTCCACGGCGGCGGCGGCGATGACGACGGTGCGATGACGATCACCAAAACAGCTCCCATTGCCGCTACCAACCAAAATGTCCCCGACTGTCCACCAACTATCACTCTCACTACTGCCGCCCCATCCAGAGAGATGGACTCGGTCCTAACCTGTCCTAATTGCGATCACGCATTCACCTCGCACATAGGCCTGGTCGGTCACTTGCGAATCCTTCGGGCCGTGACCGGCATTGGCTTCGGACTATCCTACGGGGCTCGTTGGTGTAGGGCTGTGTCAGGCAGGCTACTGTGTGGGATTAAAAATCTCCGCAAAGTCAACTGTCCTGAGGACCAGGTTGTGAGTTGGAAGTGTGCCAACTTCCTCCGACCCATCATCCAGTCATTCCGCGCGAAACACGGTGCTCTACCTACTGTCCTCCAATTCCATCTCTTTCTATTCTAGACCACGCCTGAAGGTCTTATTGGAGGGTGTCTGCCACTGCCTTAGGCGGCTGAAATATGGGTCACGACCTCCTTCTTGACTCTAAGTGATTTATACGGATGATAGTTTTCAAATGCCGCATGAGTTCAGATTGAGAGGCTAAATAGCGAATGGGAATTTTTGCATATGGAATTCTTTGGGAGACATAGAGTATGAGGTTTTCAAGAAAAAAGGTTGTCCTGTCAGCATGGTCGTTCACCGATCAGGGTACAGTTGGGAGCATGCTTGCATCATTCGGTTTCTCATTGGTTAACCAGTTACCTGCCTAACACCAGTCAAAATACACTTTAAATCCCATACCCAATTAAAACACGAACAGGCAAACGGCGTCACCAGAATGAACACGCTGGTGCATTTGTTTACTCGGCATCTGGCTTGCCTGTGAGCACGATGACTACCTTCCAGTCACAGGAGTATGGACCCTTCAAGCTCTCGGAAAGAGACCGGAAACAGGGCAGATTATGTGACTTCACGCTCATTGTAGGTTCTGCTATTTGATAATTCTGATGTATTCAAAGGTGAATGGTGTGCGCATTGTGGCACACAAGGTTGTTCTCGCAGCCACTATTCCCTTCTTTAGAGAGGTCTTCCTGTATGGCGGGGAATGTGCCGAATTCGAGGAGTTGGAGGGACTTTCGCCGGAGTAAGTATGCCATATGAAATTTGCCTGACGTGTTTTATAGGATGATAGAAATGATCATTAGTTTTGCGTACAATGGAAGGATTGAGATTACGGAAGCCAACCTGAGTGAACTGTTGGAGGTGGCAAAAAAACTGCGAATAGACGGTTTGAGGGCACGGTGTGCTGAATACATTTCAACGCGGTAAGTTACATGAATCCATTGACCGCAATGCTTTACGTAATTGCGTTCTTAACGGCAAGATTGGACTTGGCACATTTACACGTGATCTGTAATTTGATGGACTAAAATGCACTTGCTACTGAGTTGCCACAAGGAATCTGATAGTGAAGAAATATAAGTAAGCAATTTCTGGCGAGTAAATTGCACTTATCTGAGACAGACCATATGTGCTAGTCTGCGCTACGGGGAGTTGCAGGGAGGGGATAGGCGGTTGAGAGAGGGAAGGGATCCGACCATTTTCATCGACGCACAGTTGCACCATCGCCAGCCTAGGTCCGCTCGGGAAGTGTCACTTCACCCAAACAACTCCACACAGTTCTTGGGGTCATTACATAATGTCCTTTTTTAACACCCCACCACTCTCAAGATCATTCATTTTCGCAGCGAGCAGTCGTCGCCGGCCACTGTGTCCCTTATTCTGGTGATTTCTGTCCTTTACTACGGCTCGGGGTTTGGCCTAAGTATTCTCACCGCTTAGACGCTTCAAGGCCTTCAATAGTACTTAGCACAAACGTATCCTATACAAACTGAGAGTAATGGGTATCAGGGACAAATCTCTTAAATGGATCGAAGATTTCCTCATCGTTCCTTCTCAATTTGTCTGTGTAGATCATTAGCAATCAAGGCGTACAGTCATAGTGAGTAAAGTCTCACATGGTTCAGTGCAAGGACCGATCCTGTTCCTCTTGTTTACCACTTATTGTGTACAAGAATCGGACTGGGACTGTGTCATGTTTGCAAACGATATAAAATCTGGAAAGTCATTCGCAGTGCTGCCGACGAAGCGGACTTCAAAAAAAATCTTTGTCGGTTGGAATAGTGGTTCCGCAGATGGCTCCGGTCATTTGACTGGAACAAATGCACCACGTGTCGTCGATATCAGGTCTCTGAGTGGTGCATCTACCATCTAAACGGGATACCACACCGAGAAGCCGAAACGCAGAATGATCTCGGCGTTTTGATGGCCAACACGCTACAGTCTCCTGCACACTCTTGTAAAGCGACTGAGGGCACAACCACAATGTTGTGCGCTATCAAGCGGGCATTCACAGTCTTCGACGAAGACCTCTTCTCCGGAGTCTTTGGTAAGCCTGAGAGGTTGCATGTTAAACATGCGGTTCAGACCTGGAGACTATAACTTACTCGAAGGAGTGCAGAGGCTAGCAGCAGACTTACTAGGAGGTCAATGAACACTGTCATACGAGACCTGCTTAGCTGACTTAAATCTCTATCCTCTGAATCATGTGCAATTACGCGGGCACTTGATAGAAACTTTTCGTTACGTTCGTGGTTTGGACTACGTCCCACAGTGTGGGGACATCTTCCAACTCATCACAGCAACCAACCTCAGGAGGCTTACTTTCAAGTAAATGTGTCCCAAGGAAAGCTGGATGTAGAAAAGGACTTTTTCACAAATCGTGTAATGAAACCATGGAAGAGCCCGCCGGAAGCGACTGTGATGACTCACTCTGTGGAGATATTGAAATATCACCTTGACAGATGCATGCTTTAGCAAGAAGCGGACTGCGTGATTACGAAGCCTTAAAAACAAACGTACTTATGTGAAGTCAGGTCTGCTTCCAATCAAAACTGTAACTTCCCTACATTATGGCCAATTCTACGAATTTGTATGAGATAAATGAGGAATCGAAAGGCGTAAGTGCGTTTCCCTCATATACACCGAATGGAAGTTCACACAGTTAAGAGCGTACTGTTTGTTCTTGTTTTTTAAAGCTTTTTGTTAGAATTTTATACAACGCTCCACGTTTTCGTATTGCACAAGATGAAGCTGATCAAAAAAGAGAGAATTTGCCTGATTAATTGATAGAAACGTCGCAGGAAAATCGGTTTTCATAAGGTCGCATGCCGAGAGACCGGCGAGCGACTCATTAATTGAAGTAGAATTGGCAGATTCCATTGTAATAATATCGTTTTCTGTGCATGAGAAGAAGTTTTCTTTAGTTAGATTACTGTGTAGTTTTTGACGACGGTGTAGTCGACTGAGTTGCAGGGTGCATTTTACATATCAATAAACTCTTCGCAGATTTCCGTATTCTTAATCGATAGTCCAAATATGATAGATTCTGCAGTTTGTCTGTGAAAGCCTCCAAAGTAAGATATGTTTTAATATCATCTACCCAACTAGTGAGCTCTTGGGCGTTCCATTTCATACAGATGACCCCTTACCAAATGTATATTTGGCACCTCATTACCTTCTTAAAATGGAAGTAAGAAATGTAATATTGCTCAAGCTGTTAAAGGTACATTAGGTAGGCTAAATCATGAAATGTCAACCGAAATTCCGAAATGCGTTTTCATTTCGAAAAGACTGATTAAGTAGGTTTGTAAAAAAGGTCAGTCTGCGACATAATTCTATAATATTGCAGTTACCCCATGATGTTGGCTTTGAATGAGCTACCTTCCGGCTGCATGCAGAAATTACACTCTGCGAAAAATGGCTACTTAATTGGCATAAATTTTTATCATTGATTTTCGATTTCCACAAAATTCTAATTAAATTTCATAGAAAACATGCATAAACCTATTCATTCTTCTGCCCATTCGGTGTCAAATTACGTCTTCTTTCAATTTTGTACTCGAAGGAGGGCATAATTTGGTTTTGAAAATGTTTCTTATTGTGGGACATTTAAATACCGTGAAATGGCCGTTCATAAATCTACATGTCTCTGCATTTACCAATGTGGCTTGTAAAGTTAACAATATGGATCAAATCCACTGTTAAATTTTATGAACCCTGTACGGTCCCCCTTTATTACCGTAGAGAAATCTGTGGTTTTCCGCACGCGGAACATATATGGTTTGTAGATAGCAAATCCTGAATCCAAGTGCAACGGTAGAGCGAGTTCAAATTTATTCGGGAATTGGAAATTTTTAGAAAGCGAATTATACCCTCACTTCGTGTATAAAATTGGTAGAAGACGTAATTGTCTACAGAATGAACAAGAGAATGAATATTTGTATGCATGTTTTCCATGAAATATAATTAGACACTTAGGGGCATCGAAAATCAATAAGGAAAATTCATGCTAATTAAGTAGTCGTTTTTTACAGAGGGTAGTTTTTGCATACAGCCGTAAGGAAGTTCATTCGAAAGCCGACATCCTGTGGTAACTGACAATTTTGGACTCACCAAATAGGACACCTCATCACCTGCTTAAAACGGACGTAAGATATTTAATATTGCTCCAGCTGTTAAAGCCACGCCCGTTCTGTTTCTAAACTACGCATTAGCAGAAAACTAGACGGCACAGAAGGTAGATTATATGTACATATATCAAAGGTATTATACCGTACTCCCGACCTAGATACTTGCTAAAAGCCCAAACATGTGTTTCGCCGATATTCTGCCGATGCGTGACACAGCTGCGAGGGGTTCGGCTCTTCAGTGGGACCCCCAGCGTTCTCTAGCGGTTTCCGGTATATGAACTCCAGAGAATAATCAGGTGAATAATTTCAGAAATTAATCAGTGCAGAACTTGGAGTTAAATCTCCGGGACATGACTTTTTATTCACCTGATTATTCTCTGGAGTTCATATGCCGGAAACCGCTAGAGAACGCTGGGGGTCCCACTGAAGAGCCGAACCCCTCGCAGCTGTGTCACGCAGCGGCAGAATATCGGCGAAACACGTGTCTGGGCTTTTAGCAAGTATCTATGTCGGGAGTACGGTATAATACCTTTACCATATGGAATTCATACTACTCATAGTACTACTTGTTTGTAGAATAGGCATTACGTGGTTAGTCCACAGTAGTTGATTGTCTTCGACTCAAATGTTCATTGAAATTTCGGTTCTGACCCTAAAAAGTCATGTCCCGGAGATTTAACTCCAAGTTCTGCACTGATTAATTTCTGAAATTATTCACCTGATATACATATATATATATTCGAATGGTCGCGTGAAGGTGCCCATTTGCACCGTTTCTTATAGAATATCCGCAGATATCAGTAAATATGTATTCGCCAAAACATGGGATTGTCGGTAGGCGATGTTACAACTTTTAGGGCGCAAGATCAAAGTGCATTACAAAGTCGAATTGCTTAGACTGAAAAAGTGTGTAATGTTCTCAAAATAACGTACTTGTTCACACTCTGTTTCATATGAATTACGCGAAGCCAAAAACACAGTTTCGAGGTCGAGGACATTTGGATTGTCAAACGTTTTCAGTTAGGGTTACCGCACTCATGTAGATAAGCACGTACTACAGCACCAACTTGGTCCAGCGCATTTAGTATCATAGGAAAGTACTCAAATACAGGGTGACCTTGACTGAAGCTCAAATTGCGAAACTAATCGTCATACAAAAAGAATCATTTGTGGAACGAGAAAGGCGAATAAGTAAACTGCACAACGTTTAAGATGTCCAAAAATGAGTATTACCACTTCCACCGTCACGTTTCGTGAGTTAATTCACACACTATGTGCATTCACATGGAGAGTGGTAGTTTACTCATGGTAGGGTGCAACCTTCGGGGTAAATATTTTCTCAGTCAACCCGACTGGCGCATTCAAGACAAAACAGCAAGACTCCTTTTTATGCACTTGCAAGGCTACAGACGTGTGCTGATGGTCCACCACACTGTTTCAAGACGCAGCATTGCACCATTAGGCCTCAAATTCCGTTCTGGGCTTTCTGAATTTCGCAGACTCTTCAATTCCCCATCGAAAAAGTAATTTGGATTGGTGGCGATTACCAATTTCAGCATGTACTGCGCAAGCCTATTTCCCCCAAATACACTGAACTGAACTTCACGTAATCACGTGCCCACTGCTTGATCATTTTCTTAAAGAGCTTGTTGCAAGAATTTTATGCACGTTTTCCCCTTTTCTTATTGTTCAAAATGACGTTGGTTAAAATGACGAGGATTCCGTTCAATTTTGCTGATAGAAGCGTCATAAGAATGCCAGTTTTCATAAAATCGCATGTTGAGAGGCCGGCCAACGCCTAAGAAATTGAAGTAGAATTAGCAAATGCAGTCGTCAGCATATCGTATTCTGTGTATAGAAAGACGGTGAAGTCGGGCGAGTTACGGGGTGTCTTTTATGTCCATGAATGTTTCGCAGATTCCAGTATTCTTAATTGACTGCTCAAGTAGATAGGTCCTGCGTTTCATGTTTATCAACGCCTGCAACATAATATAGCCCATAACAGTGTCTACCAAAGTAATAAGTGCTTGAGTATTCCTTTTCACGCTGATAGCTGTTCGGGTGACATTTTTAGATTCGTAAACATAAAACCTCGTCGTCGACATAAAGTGAACGTCCATAACCAAGGCATGGGACAAATGTTATTTTGTACCGTTCAAGACTAGCCTCTGATGAGTCACGTCCCTAAAAAGCGCCTTAGTATGGTATCTTTCTGATTGCCGTCCATGCACAACATCTTTTCCCAGGGTGACTTCCCCAAAAATCAATGGTAATTTTTCCGTCGCAGACGAAAGAACTGATATTCTTTTCAGATGCGAATCATTTTTGTTATTATTGCCTACCTTTATACTTTCTTTTATCATTAACTATATTCCACCTGAGGGGGTGAAATTGCTAACGCTGTGCGGGTTCTGTTTCTCAATTACACATTAGCAGAAACTAGACGGTGCAAAAAGATATCATGGCATGTTCTGGAGTGTCAAAGTGACCGCTCGAAGATCATCTTTGTACGGTTCCTTTTAGTACACTCACAATCATTCACAAATCCAGATTTTTTAAATTGACAAAGGTATCTGTTTTTCTCAAAATAACGTGCTTGTTCACATCCCATCTCACCCCGCTTACGCGACAGGAAAAACACAATTTCCGGGTGGACGACACTTGCCTTGTTGAAAGTTTCCGCTCTAGGTCACTGCCCTCGTGTGGATAAACACGTTTGAATGCACATACTTGGTTTGGAGCATTTAGTATCCGAATATGAGGTGACTTTGACTTTAGCTGTAATTGCGAAACTGCTCTGCACAAAATTATTTAAAACGCATTCTGCATACAAAAAGGATCAAATGCGGAGCGAGTAAGGCAAATAAGTAAACTGCACAACGTCTAAGATGTCCAACAATTAGTGTCACCATTTCCATCGTCACGTTTCGTAAGTTAAATCACACACTGCGTGCATTCACATCAAGAGTGGCAGTTTACGCACGGTAGGGTGAAGCCTTCGGGGTAAATATTTTGTCAGCCAACCCGACTGGCGCATTCAGGACCAAACAGCATGACTCCTGTTTATGCACTTCCAAGGCTACAGGCGTGTGCTGATGGTCCACCACAGTGCTTCAAGACGCAACATTGCGCCATCAGTCCCCAACTCCGTTCTGGGCTCTCTGAATTTCCCACACTCTTACCCCCCTCCCAACCGAAACAATACCATACGCTGGGGTTGACTGCCAATTTGAGCTTGCACTGCAAAATACATCTCTTCCACCGTGTTCATGTTTATTTCAACGCTTTCGATGTCAATTAAAATAGCAGGTGCTGAGTACCCACCAGCATATGCTGGTTTTACCCACACATTTCTGTTGCCAGATTAAGCCCCTACTCCATCCATCTCGTCCTGGAGCTGGCACACAATTTGGCCATGGAGGACGTAGTTGAGGCGTGTATGCAGGGTTTTGCGAATGCTTTCGATGCTTGCATCGATGAGGGCGTAATCTGTGAATTTGGAGAAGAGGAGTTCTGTTCCCTCCTGACGAGGCCTGATCTGCGCATCAAGGGTGAGGCCTCCCTTCACCGCGGCATCGTCTGTTGGCTGGAACATCGCTCCACTGAGGACGACTTTCGGGCATCTGGGCGGAGCGCGTTCGAGTGTCTTGCGTCCTATCCGCACCTCTTCGGGACAATCTGTTCGCTCTTTCTGAGGGTGGACAAAGCCGTGCACTTTATGTGCTCGTCACATAAGTTACCTTTCAGGCAAGTCTCTTGTCCACATATTGGTAATATCTGCAGCATTGCAGTTAAGCAATGCTTAGGCCGCCTGCATTTTTTCACTTAATAAAATGCATACTTTTCGAACTGTGCTGGGATCACCTAGGTTCTTCTGCACTTTCACCCGTGCATGATGACCTTCACAGGGTACACTGAAGCCGGTGTTTTTTAGCCATACTTTCAGCTAGGAGAATTATATGAGCGAACAAATCGATGCTGACTAGCAGTAAGAAACGGTTGCTCGTATTTTTAAATCTTCTTGCATGTTTTCAAATGCTCCGTAGGTACAGCATAACTTACATACACCGCTGATTTACTTACATAGTGGCACTTATGAATGCTCCGTATTGCCTCCTTTGATTTCCGACCGGTATTTTTAAGGCTGTCACCCGAAAACATTGTGACGTATTTGCGGATTTCGGAGGAATTCGGATTCGTTGACGTAAATGACCTCATTGAGTGGACATTGTGTAAAAATTATGAGGAGTTTGTTACGACAACGGCCTTCACCAAACTATCGAGCAGTCAATTAAAACGCCTTCTGGCACGTGATGACCTCGTCGTTGCCAACGAGGCTACGGTCCTTCGTTCATTGGTCACTTGGCTCAATGCTCAGATGCTGGACAGAGCTAACCGTCAGTCGGTGTTTGAGGATCTGTTTGCCCTAATTCGTCTGCTCCAAACTCCCGCAAACATCCTGCAGGACATACTATCGGAGTACAGTGACTGTTCCACAAGTGTCATATGCCGGTATGTCTTCAGTTTTAAGCTGGGCGAGTTTCTATTTTCTCCCCATTGTCACCCTCCCTCAGTTTTCGCTCTTTGATATTCCGTTGTTTGCGATTGAGTCTTGTGAAGTAAACACTAACAGCGCTAAACACACCACGGTTGGTTCTGCCATAGCCTTCTTCAATGGAATGGCAGGGAACGTCTCGGTCAGATGGGCAGAGAATGTTTTCATTACCACTCACCCACTGCCGAGCGTGGCAGCCCCCAATGTCAAGTCAGTTGACTAATAAACTTCTGAAATCGGAACACCGTTGCAAAGAGCATGTTGATCTCATCCTCTCAAGACGTTTTAGGTTAAAATATTCCCACCAAGGAGTTTTTTTTTCAGCCGGATTACACACCACCGGAGCGGATAAAACGCCGACAGTTAGTTCAGGAGCTAAGGCTGCGACAAACGAATGGCGAACAAGGCCTGGTTATCTACAACAACTGCATAGTCGAGCGACCGTCCCGATTCATATGGACACGGCCCGTACGTATGTCGCCACAGCCGAGACAATTGGCAAAGGCGACTTACCAAAGGAAAAAAAGCTAAAATGCTTGTATTCCAATGCGCAAAGTCTGCTATCTAAATTAGATGAGCTTAAAATCTACGTTGACCAAACCTTACCCGATGTTATATCCATAACTGAAACGTGGCTGTCCGCGAGCATAGACGATCGCGAAGTCGCTTTATCTGGTTATCACTTGTTCAGAAAGGACAGGTTGGGACGTCAAGGTGGAGGTGTGCTCGTGTACGTCAAATATGGCCTTTTTGCGTCAGAAAAAGGGGGACAGCTCGCGCGCACAACTGAAACGATTTGGCTCACCGTCAAAACGCCGGGGTCACAACCTCTTGAGATCCTGACGGTCTACCGCCCACCGAGGAACGACCCGCAATCAGACAGTAGTCTACTAGAGGAATTAGAAGCGATTTCGCTCCGACCCAATGTCATGATTATGGGCGACTTTAACACTCCGAATATCGACTGGAATCTGACTTCTGCCCCGGGCTCAGAATTTAACTTTGATCGCCGCCTCCTAAAATCTGTGCAAAGATCGCATCTAACACAACACGTCTTATCCCCAACCAGACTACGTGAATGACAACTAGCTAACTGCCTAGACCTTGTATTGACAAAGGCACCGGAAAGCGTTGATGTCGTAAACTGTCTACCCCCTCTCTGAAAAAGCGACTATGTAGTCCTACAGTGGGAGTATTCTCTCTTCTCTGTACCCGATCAAAGCATCGTGATTAGACGCAACATATGGCGTGGTGACTTCAACCAAATGCGTCTCGACATGCGTCGTAGAGACTGGAAAGCAGCATTTACGGGGTGTGTCCTCAAGGACTGGCTAGAACTTAAGGCCATACTGAATGAACTTATCACCAGATACTGCCCTATGTCGAAAAAGAAAATCACCAGCAGGCCCCGATGGCTTAAAGGTTCACTAAAAATTGAAGTAAACCGTAAGCAAAAGCTGTGGAAAGCATATCTTAGGGACAAGACAACTGAATCAAGAAATAGGTATAAGGCTCAGCGGAATAGGGTAAAGTGCCTTGTTTACAAAGCCCGCCAAGACTTCGAGGGTAACCTTTTAAACTGTGCAGGAGAAAACCCAAAGCTTTTCTTCAACTACATAAGACAAAGTACTCGCAACAGGGATCCCATCCCTATGCTAAAAACTGATGATGGCGTTGAACTTTACAAGGACGACGAAAAGGCTGAGCATCTGTCCAGGTTCTTTCAGTCGGTCTTTACGAGAGAAGTCGCTGTACCCACTGATCACTGTAATGTGGACAATGTCCCGACAATTGACTCAGTGGTTCTCACAAAACCTATTGTTCAACAGGAATTACTGAAGCTAAAAGAAGGGACTTCGCCCGGTCCTGACGAAATACCGGCAAAGTTGTTGAAGGAATTAGCCACAGAATTGGCAGAACCTCTGAGCGTCCTCTTCCAAGCCTCTCTTGATGCAGGCAGACTGCCTCCTGAGTGGAAGACTGCGTGGATTTCACCGAGTCATAAAAATGGCAGTCGCGCTTCCGCAAACAACTACCGACCAGTAAGCCTCACCTCCATATGCTGCAAAGTTATGGAGCGAATAATCAAACGCGAACTGATGCGGTTTTTAGAGCAAAATCATCTTCTGTGCGATGCACAGCATGGTTTCCGCAGAGGGAGGTCCTGCTTAACCAATCTACTCTACTGTCTTGAACAGTGGACCCGAGCGATTGATGAAGGAAACGTTGTGCATGTGGCCTACATAGACTTCAAGAAGGCCTTTGACAGCGTGCCACACCAACGTCTCCTACACAAGCTCAGCCTCATAGGGGTAAGAGGCAAGCTTTTGAAGTGGATTGAAAACTTTTTGGTCGGTCGGTCCCAGACTGTTCGTCTTGGTGGCCAGCACTCGGCAGAGGTGACGGTTACGAGCGGAGTACCTCAGGGCTCCGTTCTTGGCCCTATCCTCTTCCTCATCTATATTGATGATTGTATCCATGGATTGGACTGCAAGATTGCCATGTTTGCTGACGATATAAAGCTTTGGACCGTCATCGGCAACGAGGACGATGAAGCAAATTTACAGGCAAACTTAGACCGACTCGAAAAATGATCAGGCCACTGGCTCCTCCCATTTAATGTGACCAAATGCAACATTCTGAGGATTGGCAGAACCAGCTCTGCGCACCGGCAGACGTACTATCTAAATCACACACCGTTGCCACTGGTAGAGGTTCAGAAAGACCTAGGGGTGTGGATAACATCTTCACTAAAGCCATCATTCCACTGCTTGAAAGCAGCGAAATCCGCAATGTCCAGCTTATATCTCATTAAGCGGGCATTTGCCAAGTCCGATGAAGAGTGCTTTCGCAAGGTCTTCGGGATGTTTGTGCGCCCACAGTTAGAATTTGCCATTCAGGCCTGGAGACCCTGGACTGTTAAGGATCGTACCACCCTCGAAAAAGTCCAACGACGGGCAACCAAGCTTGTCAGAGGTCATAAAAACCTACCTTACGATACCAGACTTTCAAATCTTAACCTCTTTCCCCTGGACTACAGACAACTCCGTGGCGACTTAATTCAAACGTTTAGAATGTTACGGGGTCAGGATTGCTGCCTCGCATCCGGCGACTTCTTTGAGCTGGCCACCACTGAGGACACCCTCTGAAACTACGTGTGACAGGAGCGAGACTGGACGCAAGGAGGTCCTTCTTCAGTCACAGAGTGGTAAAGGCATGGAACGCCCTACCTGTGGATGTCGTCATGTCCTCATCCGTGGACTCATTTAAGAGAAAGCTTGACCAGTACAGGGTTATGTACCTCCACAGCATCAGAAACTAACGCATTCCCCCCTGTGCCACCCGCCCCATCCAACGTTTTATGTTACAAAACATGCTACTCCCTATATTTTAGTAACATTACGTTTTACAATTTTCGCTATCTCCTGACCGCCACATATGCGCTTGCTTTGATATTACTTGGTCCATTCATTGCCGTACTGGATATTGTACAATTTTGACATAGAAGGCATTCACAGACAAATTCATACCAGTGACCAATGCTTGTTGTATGTAATTACTTACCTAATTTTTTTCACACTTGCCTTACACATTGTTTTTTTTATGACGTTATTGTAACCAAAAGGGAGTTCAAAGGCGCTCGCCTACTTTTCCCTTAATAAATCTGATCTGATCTGATCTAAACCTATTTAGCGTTCATTCAAAGACTGGCTTAAAAGTCGACCAGATCTCTGACCGCAAACCCTTGCCCTCTGTGGACGATGGTGTTTATTCTGTTTGTGGCACCACAGTCTTTCAATGAAATTGTAGAGGCGCGAGTGAAAGCAGCTGAAAAAACGGGCCGTAGCCGCAGCCAGGCAATTAAAATGCAGCCTTCTGAAGACCAATCTGTGCTTCTATGTTCCCATCCAGCTGATGGTTTTGGCTTACCGATTTTTCATGGCTATTTGCCGCTACCTTCTCGTAGTCAAATCATGGACCTGCGGGTGCGGTGTGGGACAGGCAGAAACAGCTTTGAGTTGTTTTCCCAAGGTCATTTTCTTATCAGACACATTGTATGATAGTCCAGCTCTCCTGGTAGCTGTCCTCGTAAGGCATCTTCTCTGCTTCACCTCTGTGCCCGTGAACTAGTTGATCAGGCTCAGCAGCTTGCCAATGTCTACCTGGACTTTAGTGCTTCGCCTAAAAAGGAACGTTGTCGGCCTTCTTCTCCGGAAAAGTGCCCGGTCAGATCTGTGATATTGGCATCATATAGGTTTTCCCTTGAGACCGATCATCACCTCCCGGACTTCTAGACGCACATCCAGCACCCTTAGGTGGCATTAACTCCTTAAGCCCTCTGCAAATTGGCTGCTGAATTTGACTTACTTGACTGTCATAACGATTTGCTACTGCCTTCTGTCAGGCAAGTTTTCGAAATACGCCTTAGTTGTGTTCCGCATGGAACGGATCGGGTCAGCTTTAAATTGTCTTCCAAAATCCTTTACTTACGTGGTACATTGCGTGATCATCCAACTCCAGTGAATTAAAAAAACTGTCTTAAAATTTGCACAACAAATACACACAATTTGTCTCCTTTGATAGGGAACTCACTCATCGGGTCCAGCAGCTTGTCAGCGATTGTTCGACATCAGTTCTTCAGCCAGAAGAAGCATTGACAGCTGCCTTCTCCCAGAAACCACGCGTCTACCGTGACTCTGGCAGACCTGTGCTATTTGTCCTGTGTAGTCTGACCACTGAGGGAGATCAAGACCCCCTGGTAACGTATGAATCGAAGCAAGACGCATGGAATGCTGTTGCTCGAATTGGTTGCAATTATGACGCCCCAGTAGTCGGCTTTGGGGGTACGTTCTGTCCCTTGTTCACTAGCTTCAACCAAAACAGCAGACTGGTTTTCTTCCCAGAGTCTTGGTAACTGTTTACTTCCACAATTTTATTCAGACTTGTGCAGGTGCATCCTTCGGCGTTGCGTTTTGCAGTCATTTGTACCTGCAAGAGTGCTAACGGTGTATATGTGCGTGTGCCCGTAGGGTGTAGCGATGTCCATGTGTGGGTCCATGCGATGGTCGTAGTAGGTCGCTCACTTGCTTGAAGGGGTAGATTACGCCTAGCGTCCATGAACTGGCACCCAACTCTCACGTTTGACTCCTCTAAGTTAGGCCACTCCTAACGACCGCGCCCCGCTAACCGCCTCGAGTGGCGGGTCAAGCCAGTTTGAGGGCATCCGGTGTTGTGTGTGTCTCTACACCCAGTAACGCTGCTTCCTCTTTCCCCTCTACTACTCCTCCGTTCCTCTCTACCCTTCCCTTACCCCTCCCGCTTTCTTATATCTACTGTCTACCCTGTTTACTCTCTATTCTCCTCCTTCCCCAAGTAAATCGTATCATTCCATCGTATCAACGCCTGCGACCCTTAGTGGAAAGCGGTATCCGTCTGGTGTGACTAGGCAGTCCCATGTACGGAGAGCACTCTATCCCACGATGGGTGGAGAGGCTATAAAAGGAGATCCAAACGGTCATATCGTAGACCTCAGACTGCACTACATGCGTTCGAAACCATCACACGAGAAACAGTAATCTCTTTTTTCCTCTCTCCGTCCATCTGCCCTCCGCCGCACTCTGGATTCTCCGTGTAAAAATCCCACCTGCTGAGTGTTTTTACTCATAGGTCAGCGGAATAACCTAGCCAAAACGTCGATCTTGGTTCACTTTTGATGGGTGCTCAGTGCGTTATGTTTTTTATAACTTGTATCATTTAAATAACGCAATAATTTAGTCTGAAACGTTCAAAAATGTCGACAGTTTTACAGGTAGAATGCTTTAGGATTGAAAATAATCCTGTTTCTATCGTTCGAACAGACTCCATTTACGCATTCGGAGAAGAAAGAGGAAGCAAGGACGTGGCGATTTTTACACCAGGCACCGGCGAGCGCAAACGAGGCTCTGCAGCACCAGGAGGCCAGTTATGCCATCGCGCCGTTGTTTTCGGCAAGAAGATCCTCGTTGCGAGTAAAGTCAACTGTTCCAGTCTCTACGATCCCCTTTCAGACACGTGAGTTTACGCTACCGTCAGCTAAAATATCGACAAGGGCGTTCACGGATGAGGTTACGGGACCGGCCCGTCCCATGGGTGAATTTAGGGTTCTAGAAGAAGATTGGGAAAAAGACGATGAGGCAGCTATGGGAACTGCGTTTTGATGTAGTGACTTACAGCATTTCCACCCAGCCACCTTGACAATACTCACTTCAGAAGAGCTTTTGACGTGCTTACGCGTGTTGTCGACAAATTCTTATCGGTTCTGTACATTTATATGGGAAGGAGGGCGTGTGGGTGATAAGTACAATCGATTACTCTTCGTCCTTTCATACAAACATACAATACTCATTTCGCTAACTAGGCTTCGATTCCCCGACAAAGAAAGGTGTCCGCTTGGGCGATTGTCCAGCCTCTACATCTACCGGTCCCCTCCACCTCTAGACATTTTGTCACAAATAAACATCCCTCAATTCATCTGAGCTGCTCCATTTCCCGTCGGATAAAATAAAACTGGTGAATGCTTGTTATTTAAATTCACATGAGATTAGTCCTCCACCTGTCCTCCACTCTGGGCTGCGTCTGCGTAGGCGGTGGTGTGGTGAAAAGAAATCCAGGATGAACTGCCACTTCTGGTTTACTTCACGATATCCGCACCTCGTTCCAAGTCTTGGGACACCGAACATGTTATGTTCCGTAACCGACATCGGCTAAGAACAACCCGTGGGACTTGCAATGTTTCCGATCGCAGATCTTAAAGCCATGGATTAAAGAATGGAGCGTCTGACGCAACTGCTCGATGGACCATCGATCAAAGCGCCAACTCCATGGATCTTAATTGGAAGATGATGGTCTTTTGACAGCAGATAAATCAACAGTGGACATTATAGCCTTTTCTACGTTTGACTGCATTCCATCCACATTGTTAGGTGTTTGGCTTATTTTGCAATTAACGCAGACTGCGTTGATGACTGATTGAGCCTTTCCGAGACATCAGCCACGCGACTGACCCGATATCAGGAATCGCCTCTTTATCCTCTTTATCGTTGGTGATCATCCGCAGTAAATGGTAATTGCATTTTTACATCTCAAGCAATGGTGTTTTAGGAGGAAGTGGACTTAGCCAGTTTATCCACCTTCCTTCTAGGTGGTCCGAGGGGCCGGGATGCGAGTTCGATCTGACTATTTCCTGTTTGATCTCCGTTCGTGAGCGCCATGTCCTGGCCCTGGGAACTTACGCGGAGGATGCAAAAGTGTTTTGCTGGTCTCCGTTTGTTGTGGAACCTGATGCCATAGGGAGCCAAGCACAAGCAAAGAAGTGGACAGAAATTCCTATCCCTGAGTGCCCACCCTGTGAGACCAGAGGCGTAGAAGTTAACGGACGGATTTTCGTTCTAGGGATGACGATGGAGGACCGAAGTAACTACTTAGCAATGTTCATTTCTGTGAACGATGCTCATCCCGATGCCTGGGTACCAGAGGGACAGTGGACTGTAATTTCTGAAATGCGCTTACGCGACTATCACTTCAGCATGGTCCTTGCGGCCGGTGATATCTACATCATGGGTGAGTTCCTTGCGTTTTCACCGTTCATTCTGTCTGATTTCCATTCGGCCCGAATCTTGTTGTCTTACACTTTAAAGTCTGATAGCTTTGAAGGTGCCTCCCTACATGGCAGGCATATTTGAAGCATGTAGGTAATGGAACGCCTAAAATAATGGCAACTGGGCAGTGCAGGAAGTTCACGTTTAACGAGCCGACATACATAAAAATGGACCACCACGCGTTTGAAGCTCTGAGCGAAAATTGAACTGTGATCCTTCCTCTGGCCCGAGGAATTAATTTCGATCATCGAACTGGCCTCATCAGTCCTGTGCACGTGACTCTCAGCATTATTTCACCAACGAGGACGCGTAGTTGTCATCGGGAAAGAACGAACTCGTCCAGAACTGTGAAATCGCACTTTTCGGGAACCTTGATTTTCCTCACGAATCCTTTTTTCAGAACTTGTCCAGCACTCTATGTACCTATTTCATCTCCCGTCCACACGCTGTATAAAGCGTCATTTTACTGCTGAGTGAAACTCTAGGCGACTAGACCTCTGATAAGTAAAGGCGGCGACAGATTCTCCATGCTAGTGGCGCCACACTCATTGGTGCCCACCCCTTTAATAAACTGATCCAATCAAATTTGCGCCAGTGGAAATCTGGTCAACTCCTGTGCCCCGTGATCCTATCAGGCGTGAACTCATGTAACGTTTACTTTTACGCGTATTGTGCATACAAGTCTATCAGGTGTGAAGCAGGGCGATGCCACCTCTCGACGGCCACTTCGAGCTACAGTACTACAAAGCAGGACGATTGTTTCTTTTTTGGGAGACTTTCAGTCGATGACAGGGTAGCGCAGCAGCGAGGGCCAATTCGACTCCAATACTTAGGGGACCTTGCACCTGTCAGATCTCATTCAGTCCGTTTTAAACATGCTTTGACCAACGGTCGTGGCGGTAAATATGCGTTTAGGAAGCAGCAGCAGCAGTTTCCTGATCAGTGGAATCTGATTGACTGTGGATCAGAGCCAACTGCCAATACGCACGCGGGTACAGCTTAGGAGGGTGACCAATGTTCCACGTGAAATAACCTCTATGTTATGGAAAGAAGAATTGCTTTGTTCGGGGGGTTCTACTGGCGTTTTCCGCATGTATCGTGCCCAAGTGGCCGAAACTTTCCACGGTTGCGCAAATTCTGAACATTGTATGGTCGCGACATTCCTTAATCAGCGGAAAATTGTGTCTTTACATTACTATTTACCTTTTCATCGATAAGAGGAATTGACGGGCGCTCTTTTCGACTTTTTTACCAGCTAAACAGAAATTCGATTCAGACGACACAGAGGATGCAGTGGTGTTTCTGCCAATGGTCGAAGATCGTAGGCCTTGGATGTCCCCACAACTTTCGTCGGTATGTTGTCAGCTGGACTTTATAGGAGACAGAAATGACAGCTGTGTTATTCTCAACTGTCTGACCCAAACTAGAGTTGCATAGGCCACATCATCTTTGGTGCCAAGTGTAAAGTAATCAGACAAATACACGGTTGCAAGAGAAAGCCGTAGACCCGATGCGATCAGATTGGTTGTTCTCCTATAAAATACCCTTCCTGAGGTTTAACGCAAGATCACACAAATTACTTGGGAACTTTCGTACTGCCATATTTTGTCTGGGAGGGGGGGGGGTTCGAGAGGATATAGGCAACTCCGACCCAAGCTTTCTATGCACCAGTGCGTAGACTTGTGAAATGCTAACATTTTCGCTTACGCAAGTACCAACGAATTCAGACACTTTCCTTAAAAATATCACGACGGATATGGTTGCCAGTGGCGTATGTTACTAGCCCTCGGACGAGAATGCCTTCACTGAAGTGAAAGTGCGAAATGTTTTGATCCTTGCTTTGTTAATCTCTTGGGTGTTGTGACCTGCCAGACAAAAGAAAAATCATCAGTCTCATCTGACAGAGATAAGATGTGACTTCTTCGTCAGAATCTAGGCCTCATTATACATAGGTTTTCCCATACTTCTGTCGAGTTATCATCTAGTCATTTAAACGTCCCTTTATCCTAAGAGATGAAGGCCTCTAATTATAATGGTGAGCATTCTGATGGTTAGATGGATCTATAAGCTGTGAAGTGTGTCACCTTCCAAAACTGGTCAAGTGCGCGTTCAGAAGCCGGCTGAGAGTTGATGAGTGTGATGGATCTAACTACTAATGACCGCCTCTGATGTGATGGACAGGCAGACGCTTTGATCGTGGAAGCCATATTCTGAGAAAGTCGTTTAACCTAGAAATGCAATTTTGTACATATGAATGTCACAAGAATCTATCTGTGCATCTGCGATTCCCCACCGTATAAACCACGGTTTTGTAGGAAAGCATTTAGCCCAACATTAGTTTGGCGAGTTTGAGCGTTCTAAAAGTAAAACATGCCTATAGCATTTGAGTCATCAAGAATTTCCATAAGTAATCGGGGGCACTTTCAGCTAAAAGTAGTCTTGTGCGTAAGATTTGTGCCACTAAATTTAAGACATTTTTGAACAAAACCTGCAATCATTATTACGTCTTCAGTGTAATAGACGGTCCTAAGACAAGTATACCTAAAAGCGGTTGCTTGGTTAATGGAAAATTAGAATTTCGGAGTTGGCATTTGTTCAGGTGTGATTACGTCCACTTTTGTCTATATATTTGGTAGGCCAGAGTGGTCCTAAAGCAGAACATTTGGTTGATGTACTGGACCAACAGGGGACTCAGTTTTAAGAAAAGGGCATTTAATTTGGATGGAACGATTTTGTCGAATTTACTGAATGCTCCTACTTCTCTTACGTCAGAAGACCGGTTTCCCGACACAAATCCGGCAGCCTCACAAGCTCATTTATTTACTAATGTTTTTTTCCTTTCCTTTAGAATGCCCCGATGTCATCATGGAGATGGTGGCCGTTGGATAAACTTGGGAGGACTAAGTTTTATGATCGTGCAGGAGTTTTCCTCCAGCCTACTCATAAAAATGCCCTTAACAATTCATAAGGCAGACTTTCTCTTCGTTATAGCAACTGTTTTTTTAATTTACACTTTAAATCTTAGTCTCATTCTTTAATAAATATAGTAAGCGCTTACTACCCAGCGTCTTCGTTCCAACCTCTCGGTGAATGCCCGATATATCAGGAAAAGCACAGTTCGTTCGCTGAGTGTATCTATCCGAAAACAATGCTAAATCTAACTCATTTAGGTTGCAGTGTTAATCAAGGCCTTTCAGGATTCTGTCTGTTGTAAAGGAAACTTCAAAGGAAATGATCGCAGAATCAAAATTGCGTATGAGGTCGAGGCTTATAGCCCGTACCCTAGTCTGTGGGCAGTGATTTTTGAGTTATTGAGTAAGGATCCTAGCCTATTCGAGTGACTATCATGCAGCGAATAACCCAACTAGTGAAACATGATGAGGAAAAATAAGACGATCAAGTTAATTTGCCAAAATGTCATACATTTTATTTATTCCTCTTTTCCGTTTTGGCGAATGTCATTTTTAGCGCAAAATAAGTCTGTAGAGAATTTTATCAGTCAAACGTCTTGCAAATATGAGCGGGAATTTACGCCAACTTGTATTTGGGCTGTTTTCTATGTTAATATCTAGCCTAGACCAAGGCTGCACACAGATGCCTGTTTTTCTATTAGAGGAGAGCAACCTTAACTCGAGAGTTTTACTAAACGGGACTTACCACGCGTGGAAATCGGTCCTTTTCCCCACGCAAATCGGATGGGAAAAGAAAATTATTTTTTAAAAACCAGGTATTTTATTGATTTTAAAAGATCGCATTTACATGTGCTTTCATGTCCTAAACGCAGAGTAGCGCCTACAGATAACTCTTTGAAAATTCCGACATTTTCTTGCTCTCCGCTAATACTCAACAACTTACCTCGAAAATGTCCTCCATTAAGTGACTATGTTAACTTCCGAGCATATGGTAAGATACTTTTCACATGGTCTAGTTTCCGCTTACTGCGTAATTTAAAAACGGAACAGGCAGATGATTAGCAATTTTAGCTATATATTAGCACTTATATTTAATCACCCTGCTGTGCATTTATAATTGTGGAACGCAGATCTAAGGGAAGCAAATAGAGCTACAGAGCTCCAATATTTGGAGGAAAGTGGGTTTTTTTATTTACAGCAGTAGAATTACCATTATTTTTCAGGGAAGTGAAAATGATGGTCAAATGTCCCATTTTTTACCTGGACTTTACCCTAGAAAAGGTTAAATGCGCGGTCATCCGTCTGCAAACTGTTTTATTGAAGTGCCTTTTGAACAGGCAGTTCATCAAAGATAGTTTATCCCTTGATCTAGAACATATTCGTTCTCGACTTTCGACTTACACGTTCATTCTTCTCAACAATGATATTCCATGTTTTCTTAAATCAAAAAATATGACCTAAACGATCATCTGTATAAGAAGGAATGTCCAAAAACTCGCAAGTTCGGCAAATGCTTTCATAAGAATATCTTATTTCGAGTGTTTTTCTTCAAAACATAGCACAGAATCTGCCCTTATTAGGAATCGACTGAAAAAGTTTAAAATTTTTAAATATTCACCGATTTTTCAAGGACTATCTGGAGCTTGGCGTAATCTAACAGAAGTAAAAACGGTAAGGGCATGGTTTTTAACCGGGGTAGGCCAGTAATATACAAGACTGACTACTGCATTTACTTAAGTAGATGTTGGTGGGTTACGTTTTTTCCCCTATACCACTCGGATTTGGTCTGCATGTTTCACCTTGCAAGCAACATCCCTGAGAACCAGGCGCTGCGGGAATGTCTATGTAGAGGTGCAGGGAAAGTCTTATTAATGCACACAAAACGTTGTATTCACGAGTGCACATGCCAAATCTACTGAAATTTATTAGTCAATAACCGACCTGTCAACATGTGACTTCATGAAACCTTTCATTCATTTGACGTCCCCATTGGCGAAATCAAGCGAATTCCTGTTTGCCATGGTTAATTTCATCTTAAACGCCTAGGAAACTTTGCGCAAATTTCTGACTACTGGCCAACCACCAACTGCGACCTTCAATGAGGGAGTGTTCTCGAATATTACTCTCCCTGTACCAATTTAGTTACTCAATTTTTGCATGGATGGGCTTTCTGTACGCCCTACAGTCAAGTTTACTCAGTCACAAGGATTTTTGACGATTCTGGAAGTTTTCAATTTTCTAAATTATTATTAATTCTAAACAGCGTAATACTGCTTTGACTATGTCTTTATTTTTCCATCTTCTTAATATTATTGATATTAATTCAGTGTTCTGTTCCATTCGGTTGCAACGGTTTGCTATTAATCAACCACTTTTCGCAAATTTCGGCAGATTTCATGAGTTAGAAGATTCACTCTATGCTGTTTAGCTTTCACAACCACCATCATTCTGGCAAAAACTGACTAATTACACATTCTGGCCTCGTCTGAATCCAGGCTTCTCTGCTGATTCAACACACGTGATCAGAAAGGCGCAAGACATTAATTGTTTTTGTGGACCGTGGCGTTATTTAGCCGCCAATGAGGCATCACTACGTGGAATTCTTCAATGGAGGCAGTGGAAAGTAGATTTTTGACAGTAACAATCTGGCAGTAAGTCCAGGGGATCAGTGGCCGGTTGTGGTATTTTTGTAGGTTAGTAGAGTAACCTCCTAGTTCACTCCTCCTTTAACGGCCTTTTACATGAAGTTAGCTGGTTGTATGTCTAAATCTGCTACGCCGGTAATTTACGCCAGGCTCCTGGCAACAGGGTTCAGTTCATATGCCAAGGGTATGATAACGAGATCGTGTGGCGGAAAACAGTCCTGGTTAACGCCAAACGACAACCAATATTACAACCTCACCCAAGTAATCCTTTTGATCGAAAACGTATTTCAGAATTTCGTCTAACATTTCATGACGTCGGTCACTGACGGTATTTCTATCCTCGAATCCAGATTATTCAGTCTGGTTGCCATAAGCCCATCCTAATTGCAAATGACGGGCATGCTCCAGCATTCCACGCTAGTTTTCCACCTCTTTTCCCCTCAAATCGAGGACTCGAGACCGCTCAGCAACGGCCTACATGGCATGTTGAGGACAATGTGCTTGGTTACCCTGCCGGAACTTAGACTAATGTTCAGCTTTTTGAGAAGGGTTTGGATCCCAGTCGACAGAAAACGATTTTCAACTGTGCCCTTTGACCTCAAGCTTTTCCCAATTCTGAATCCTTGGACATTCTTCGCAATAAAGTCATGCTTCTTCGGTACCTTGGTGTCACTGCTTCCCTTAGTATCCCATTATTCCTTCTTATCTAATTAATTTTCGATAAAATATTCAATTCTCTTCTCTACATACGACGTTTATTTTCTTATCACAGACACGGCCATTAATCAAGGGGCTGATCATATCTCCCTCGTAACTTCCACGCTTCTGTCGAAATATTGGCTTCAGTAAAACATGATATTTGCATGTCGAGATGTATTACTCACGTATAATCTTCTGATTTAACTGTCCCCTAGGTCTTTTATTCGAAAATAATTTTCTACGGTCGGACACCTCGCTAACTGTAGTCCTTAGATATAGCCCACTCCGTGAGTGCTATGAATTCACATCGTCCAAACTGGCTTCGCGTCCACTGCATCTCCCACTCTACAGAGAATGAACATGACGCGAGGTCTCTCAAGCACAGATGCGCATTCAGCAGGAGAGCATGTATGAGATCATTTTCGTACGCATAAAAGACCTCGTTCAGTACGCGCGCGTGCGCATGTCTTTGCCCGGCAATTGTGTGGCGCGCGCAGACGGGTTCTCTAGCTCTGCCAGTCACTGCGCACAATTCCGGCGTCAGACATCTGACCGGCCCTGGCTAATGGACTTGCGCATGAGCGTGGGAGGAAAGAGTGGAGTCGATGGTTTCATCGCATACTTCTTATTATAAACAGTCTGGCGCACCTGAATTTATCCCAATGAGCTAAATGCCCCTAAGTTGTACTTGATCGAAAGCTGGCAATCCATTCTCATCTGGCAAAACAGAAGGTGGAGCGAACCGATGGCAACGCACGCACCTTCACGGCGCTCCGTGGTCCCATTTTATTGTTATCGATGGAAAATGATCGCCCAGGTGGGGGAGGAAGAACAGAGTGCGTAAAAGTCTACCATCACCATAAGTCGTTATTCTGCACACTTCCAATCGGCGCTTTAGAATGATTTGAAGTTCGTCCTATCTTCTGGATGCCCAACAATTTATTCCATCTGCCTCTCACATTGTGATCGTCCGCCACAATTTCCTTATTTTCGAATAGACCACCGACTTAAAAGACCTGTTTTGCAATGAAGAGAAATGCATTTCTATTCCTCAAGTCACTTACAGCACGTTCAGTCAGCCACTGCAGTCGCGATTTACTTACTGCCCCCCCCCCTGTTTTGAGGCACATGTACTGCTGACATTATCATTTCAACCATCGAGAAAGGTGATCGTCACAGTGTGCTCCTCAGCACGTTGGGCACAAAGCAGGTACTGGGGGTGCCTAAAATGCAAGAATTTTTGTCCGTCGCCAAGTGGGTTGGGAGTGCTGCCCTCTCACATTAGGTCCGTTTACTTAACACTCTTCCTGCTCAGCTGGCCAATTAACACTCAGGCGGCGGGCAGTGTGATTGTTCTATCTAATCTCCTCCCAACGCTCTCGACGATTTTCCAACGACAAACAGTAAAGACCAACGCGCCAACACCAAATTCTGCTGGCTGTCCATGATGGTTTGTTTTAACGGTATCAACGGGGTCGTTCGCGTTGAATTTTCTCCTCATGGCACAACAGTGAACCAACATCACTATCTGCAAGAGCTGAAACGATCGCGCGAGACAGTAAGAAAAATACGACCTGAATTGTGGTTATCGGGGACTGGCCACTTCATCATGATAACGCGCCCGCCACATAACGTTCAAAATCAACCAGTGTCTGGCGCCGCAGGACATGAAAACGGGTGTGTGACGGTTAGATCGCAGTTGGTAGCCAGGA